GTGGCTCGTCGTGGTAATTCGTTGTGTTGTGCTAGCTTCACATCGATCATTTTGATGGAGACAATTTTCCTACGTATGGGCGGATTGTAATGATCGTGAAGTTGAAAGAGTTTTAATGGATTTGTATCATAGAAATTTTTTCTTTTATAGTAAAATCTATCGTGTATTAGAATAATTCTAATCAAAATGATTCTGTCTAAGAATGCACCGGTTTCGGTTCTAAAATCGGAACCGGTGGAATCGATCGGAACCGAAACCGAAACCGGCTGGAACTGAGATCGGAATCAGTCAGGACCGATCATCATTAGATTTTTCATTACCCTGGTCGAGAAGTACGGGCCAGTTCGTGCGGGAAAACACCGGAAATGCTAGGAACTTGGAAGCAGAAACCCGGTGACTGAGTTTATGCAGTTCCGTGCGGAACTGTCCAGAACTTGGCAAAATCGGCAGTCATATATGATCACCGGTTTCTGCATCGATTTGCTGGCATTTTCAGACAGGTTTTGGCGGGAAATGGTGCCTTTCCTGCGAATTCCTGCCGGAAATTCATGGAATGCGCCTTCAAGAATCATCGACCTGGATTTTCCGATTTCTCTATGCATGGTGTCGACGGATTTTGGGTTATTTGAAACCGATCAAAACGGGAACCAGTGCATCCCTAATTATTGTATCCATCTTTAGAAAGGATTATCGAGTACATGCTGGTATGATAAGACCTCCGTCACTTCCATTGTATGAGCATTTCCTAGCTATTTAGGTGGCGTAATTTCAATCATTTTTGGCTTGATAATGATAGTCTTTTCTATACCTTTTTTTTGTTGCTCCATTGTCTACCTTTCATTAGGAAGAAAGTGTGTGAATTGGGCTGTTGAACCATATTACATCTGTGTGTTTTCATTTTTGTGTTGCCTGCATTTTTCATTCTGAAATACAAGACGAGAATTTTTTTCAAGGCTTGTTATGTTCAAAAGAGGATGTGGGTGCGGGTGGGATGTTGTTGGAGTGCGAGTGTGACTAAAGAGAAACTATTCAACCACACTCACATCCACGCCCCACACCTACATACACCCCCGCCCATGCCTCACACCCATATCCTTCAACGAAAGACTTTTCTCTTCAGAAATTATTATAAAGCAACAATGGAAAATATTCAGTATAAAAAAAATTGAAGAGCAACTCGAGTCGCATCAAACTGAATTTATAAAATAGATTTGATAAGTTTTATTGGAACATTCTGCGAATGATGGTCTTTATTAGTAACGAAATTATATACGGAAAGTATTGTAACTGGTGTATAGACACTAAGCACATGAAAATTTGAGAACAACTTAAATCCTAGGTATAATATGAGGCGGGACGATGTAATATTGAAAACGACATAGACAATTTATTGATTTGAGATTGGTGACGAACTCCGACGTTTTTTTTTTGTTAATAATCATCCACAGAAGAAACATTCAAAACGATATATTATTAAATAGGTATACGTCTTGAATAGGTAAATCATTTCCAGTGTTTCTTATCAGATTAAATTTTATCATAAAAACAAATTTATTTGTTGGAAATAATAGATTTGAATTGATGCATTATTGTTGATGGATTAGCTCTAGCTGATAGTTCAGCAAAAGCTTCTCGTTCTAATGAAATATCAGTTTGACTTATTTTTAAGGTATTGACTTGTTCACGAATTTTTTTCCATTAACAGGTAATCGATAAACACTTCCAACTAAAGGAAATATATCTTCAGATTTGAGTGCATCTTTTTCATTTTTTACTGTTTGTTTAAATAAATTTATTTCTTCCGTATAATCTTTTATCATTTGTTCAAAGTCTTGAATGATAGCGTTATTTTCACAACCAGAATTTTTTTTCATTTGTTCTTCCATAAAATCTCTAATATATTTTAACCTATTATCATTTATTGGAATAATTGCATTTGCATGAAAAACTTTTGAAAGTTTTTCATATAAATATCTTCTATTTTGGCTTTTTCATCTGCTAAATCCCTAATTCCGTTATCAATATCGCTTGATGAGCATAGATTGTTAAGACGGCGAACATTAGTTTCATATTCATATGTTATACGGTGATGCTCTTTTCATGAACAACCACATTTTGTACATTTACCTACAAAACAATTTTAAAATAACAATAAAAATAAAGTCAAACCAATTAAAATAATTTATCTCAATTAACAAACTTCATTGATTAATACATGAGTTGTAGTATTCAATAGATTATTATTAATAAATGCTTCTACTCATCGATCGATTGATGTTAGCAAACCTAAAATTCGCTCTAAAACGATCAGTTCAGTTCGAGATTGAACGAATTTTAGTATAGTCGCCAATTTAGATATAGATTTATGTGAGATTTGATCAGTCGAACTTTCGTCATTGAATAAATCATTGCATTGACAAATGTTATGAAGAACATATTTATCTATCAACAATTTGCTGACAGTTACAAAGATGAATAAGTTTAAAAAAAATTGAATAATATGTTTGAACAAGTATTGAAACATTTTACAATGGTTAAAAAGATTTTTGTTTTAAAGATAATAGAAATGATTTAAGATAGTCTTATCGAAACAAAACTTTTGTATATTTTTTCAATTTTTTTTTCTATTTGAAATGTACTTTAACAAATTATCTTGGAGAATTTATTCAGATGTTGTTATAGAAAGCCTCAATACTTTTTGTAAATATATCAATCATTTTTCAAATCAATATTCAATTATTTGCTTATTTACTTCTCGGCATTGAATTTTGTTTATACTTGTTTTATTCATATTTGTAAACAATGAGACAATGTCATGTTTAAATTCTCTTGTTTCTATTGAAAAAGTTCTTGATAGCTCAATGATGAACATCTCATGATGAAAAATTTATTAAAAAATAAAGAAATTTGAAAAAGCCAAATAGAATATGATAAAATGATATTGGCCAGACATAGTTTCAAGTTTTTATTTATCAGGAAAAAAAATTGAGTTTCTTTTCTATGAGTCTAATTCTTCATCTTTTGAAACTTTCACAATATATCAAATAATTTAATTGCAATCTTTGCATTTTTGCTAGCCTATCTGACTTTTGCAACACCATATGGAATCCTTTTCGATGTCCTTACACTCCTAAAGAATTTGCCAGGTTATAGACAATTTTTGATAGAGTACTTCCATGAGTGGTCAACGAAAAAACATAAAATAGATCCAAAATCTTATTGTCATATCCCATTTTGTAGAGCTTCTATGGTTGATCATTTTCATTAAAAAA